CTCACCACTTCCTATTAGATCTTATTCTACTGCTATTCTTGCCAGAAGTCGATCAACAATGATCTCCACAAGCAGGTACAAAAAATCTCTTCCAGAAGCAACCTGCGTCAGCTCTCACCAGCTGTCGTGGCGTATAAAGCACATACGCACATGTTCTTCACGAACTAGTCACAGATCTGGATCTACCTTCAATACTTATCCATCTCTGTAAGTACTCGGACCGTACTCCCGTCCGTGTTCGATATCACGAATGTCCGACTTCACTGTCCGACATGTTTGACTGTTCTTTTATTTGTTAAGATCCCATTTCACCAACAAATTCATCCATATCGCTTCATACAAACAAGTTACAAAAGGCCATTATACAGAGAGACGGTCCGCGACCCACGAGTTTTCCTCCAGAGGGTGATGCTTTCCTTGGCCTCAAGGCTCACCATTGCCGATGGAAGGGAAAATTGATGTGATTGAATATTTCTCAACAGGCGAGCGCATAGAGGTGCGATGGGTTCGGAAACTGATGACATACGGAAAATACAGGGTTCGTGCTCAAATTCTACCAAGCGCCTCGTTGAATTTTGCATAGAACCAAAATGGAACCAAAATGGCATCAAAGACATCACCTTTGTCAACACTACCATGTGCTGATACTGCAGTACTGAGGGAATACGTAACAAAGCTGGCCTATTACCTACATACAAGCCTAGACTACGTTACCTACGACTCACTCTTTGTCTTCTTTAGTTCATTCCAATCTCTCCACAGAGGCAGTCTTCGCCATTCTCATCAACATCTTCATCAATTGCCACCAGCAACTGCCACAGCAACACGGAAATCACAGTAGCTCTCCAACATAACAGTCAACAGACCTTAGAGGAAGGGAAGGGAAAAGGAATCCTTCAATTGTCACTTGTCGGTCGTGTCGTTTGGAGCCTCTTCTGCAGTAGCTTCTTTCATTCTCTCGATAACTATCACACACCACTTCTCTGAAGTTGCATGACTGCAAATGAAAATCAATCGATCTGGTGGTACACGTATTGCAGATGATGCATGTGTAGTAGAGGGCTTAGTTACCTTCTTTGGCTTCCATTTTTGCCGTCGATCATCTTCCCATTAGTGGTGATGCAAATTCAGTAAATTCGTCCTCACAAGATCAAAAATTGTCGCAACGTACTTTTGAGCATAGGGCTAAAATCCTCGAAAGAATGCGAGTCGAACCGTCTAATCGGCATTAGATTGCGACGTCTTTAAAAAATGACCAATTTGGATTTCTATGGTGATATTTTTTTAGAAAGCCCGAAAGTGAGTATGTGAAGGGGGGGGGGGGTTCGTGGATTGGGGTCATACATCCTGGGTCATACATCCTACGTCTATTAAAAAAAGCCTCAAATCAGCCTCTGATCAGGAAACGGGCAACAGCGTGATGTTTATCCAAAGAAAGACACGAGCCCATTGATATCAAGTCATTTTGTTGTTGATTAGGTTATTTCAAGTCTTTCACTTGTTCAACAACTCAAAAAAGGCGACAGCCTCATCCAATGAACCCAGAACTCAAACAAAACGACATGATGTGTTCAATGTTTTTAGAAATGCGATCACTCTGATCATCCCCTGACAGTCGTGAAATGTCTGACCATATTTCCACAATCTGTTGCTTTGACCAGCCCTGACGAGAACCAAGAGAAGTCAAAAATCTTCCAGTATCGCCAGCACCAGGTCCATCAATCTTGATAAATTGTTTCCCAAGGTTGCTTAGCGCATATATTCTTGAGTTCGCTTGATCATTGGGTCTTGAGCTGTCAGCAGCAACATAATCATCAGGGTTGTTGAAGGCAACCAAATGGGATGTGATAATGTCTTCGTTTCTTCTCTTCGACATACTCAGCGGCCAAGAAAAGTCTTCACTTGTAAGCTCCTTGAACCAAGGCTGGTCCGCAATATAATTGTACATATCAGGCAAACCAAGATCCTGGACACGTTTTAAATCTACTTCTTGGCTAGTTGTCTGGGCAACAGAAAGAATTGATTTGCATGTTGTTTCAAGCTTCTTCTCGTACCTGGAGATAAAGCTGGATAATCGTCCCACCTCCTTAACCAGATGCACAAGAAGCGGGTGTTCTGAACGCTCTTGGTGTATACGGCCATTGCTGGAAACATACATACCCTTCTTGATGTTGAGAGAAGATAAAGCCATGTCCTCTTCAGCAGAACTCTGCTTCTCAAGATTTGCGGAGAGAATATGGCCCTTTTGCTTAACTTGTTCAGTGCACTTCTGAAGTTCTGCCTCTCTTGCAAGACGTGCCTCTCGCGTCTTTGCTGTTTTCTCAGCAAGCCGTTTTGATTCTGCCATTTTCTCTTTCCTTCTTTTGTCACCCATGCTAGGATCCAATCTTGATGCCCCACTGCCCGACAGAGAAGTTACATTGGACTTTTTCTTCTCATTTGAATTGGCGTTTTTCTCAGTTTGAATTCCCCATTTTGCTCTCCTCAACTCCACAATCTGTTTTTGTTTTGCTGCAAGGATTTCCTTTCTTGACTTTTTCTCATTGATTGTGCTTTCCGTCTTGTTTGGTAGAGCGGCTTTGGATGAAACAAGTGTGTCGGTCTCCTTCAATACATCTTGGCTTTCCAACATTTCATCTCCCAACTCTCTAACAAAGGCTTCAGGTAAGTTTGCTTGTTCTATTGACAAGCTCTTTTGATTCTTTGGTGACCAATTGCAGCTTAGAGTGATAGACAGAGGATGACCTTGCATGGAAGGGGATACTTGCTCCATTTTCTTCTGTTGCAATACAGGGGGGTGATTTATCTCTTCCTCCCCTTTAGTAGAGCTCCATTCACCTTCATTTGTGGCCCCATTCCTTTGAAAACTGCCAAGTGAAGGCGCTTTTTGCAAGTCAACACTGTCTTTTCTCTCTCTGTCTGGGTCTCTTTGCAAAACACTGCAATTTGAACTTTCTTCCTTTTCCAGCTTTGCCTCTTTTTGTTCAAATTCTTCTAAATTGAAGCCCTCGTTTGTACTCAGCTCTTCCCCCACTCTTTTACGAGCATGTAGCTGTAAATGATCAAGCCGGTCCTTGTCCATGCTCTCTCCCTTATCATCACACTCTAGCAGCTCCATAAACTCTTGGCGGTAGTGTTCTTCACGGTCATTGAGCAATCTCTCCAGCAACCCTCTATCATTGAGGTCTTGAATACTCTCAAAAGTTCCAACAAAATTTATTGATGCACCTTCAACAACAAAGAAGAGCGGGTATGTTCCTTGTAAATTGCTGAGACAAAAAAGTTTGTTCCTCTTTGCAGCTGAAATTGCATCAGATCCATCCAAGGACTCATACTTGATATTTTGAGCCTTGAGGACTGCAATTGCGCAATGTTGATTTGTTTGTTGCAAGCGATCAATAGTGCTGCTTGAGAATAGCATCAAAAGTTTCTTCCCATTTCCTTGAGGTGTATTTTGACTAGTTTTCATTTCTGGGTCTGTTTCCTTTTGCTGAATGTTCAATGATGGCTCACTTCCATGCTGCTCTGCTATGGCCTCCATTTCTTCCATTGCAGAGGCAATGAATAGCTTGTCAGGCCCAGGTGAGACGGGCGACTCTGAGATGTCCACGGATGCCAACGACTTCAGATCTGTTGATCGGATCCATTGTTGGTTCAACCCCACAGAGTGATCTGGTACTCTTCTGCTCACGCTGTCAAGCAAAGAGACAGAATCCTCTTCTTCTTTCACCTGTTCTGTAACCGTCAGGGACGACTGTTGAGGCTTCTGTATCACTTCGACTGGGGCTTTTTGTGCCGCAAACAATAGTGGTTTGGTTTTTAATGGCTGTAATGATGAGCCAAACAGTTCTGTGGTTGCTGGTGAATCCATGTCTGATGAGTGTACCGTTGCAAGTTGATTCACTTCTCCTAGATTGTCAGGAATGATGCACCCAGATCTTGGAGTTTTTCCTACTTTTGAGATGCCGCCATTCTTAGATTCAATCAACCCAATATGTTGTCCCTCCCCATACCCAGCATTAGGATTTCTTTCCTCCTTTGCCTGATCTCCAAGGATATGAGATACCTCACAAGCCTTGAGTGAGAGATGTTTGCGACGATCTTGCTTGCTTGAGACTGGTGATAGGAGGTTTGCTGAGACCCTTTTGCTTTCTTTGCCGTTCGTTCCACCAGCTGGTGCGGCGGCGTCCCTTTGTTGTGGACCATTTTGATCTGATTTTGAAGATTCACCTTGCTGTCTGTTGTTCCAACTCTCAGACTTGGCCATTGTTGCTCTTTTTTTTGTCCAATACCATGATTCATCGTCTCTTCTCCTATTTTCAAATGCATGGAGTCTCTCATGGAGCCTCTTTCTTGCTTCAAGAAAAGTTTCTTCACCCTTGCGAGACTTTTGCAGTGGACTTACCCGTTTTGTATTTAGACGGTGATTGCTAGACGGAGAAGAATCTGCAATCTCAACCGTTTTTGCCGATTCTTGGTCCAGCAAATTGTCATACTTTTGTTGGACAGTTGCTATCTCCATTTCCATCTGTGTCAGACGATGTTCTAGTTCCATTTCCCGAATCTTTTGCTGCATCAGTTTTGCCTGTTGTTCTTTTTCTTTTTCCAGATCCATTGCTCTTCTCCGAACGTCAAACATTCCAAAAAGGCCAGTGTTCTTGTCTCCACCACTGGCAGCTGAACTGGGATGATTCCTTTCTTTTTCAAGTCTTTCTTTCTCAGATGCTAGACTTTCCCTCAACTGCTTCAGTTCTCTCGCCAATGAAGCCTTGTTGGGTGACGCCTCTTTCCAATCACCTCTTGGCTGTTCTAGTCCACAGGAACCTGCTAGACTATCAAGCTTTTGTGCAATGCGCTCCTTATCAAGGCTCATTTCTTGCTCTATTTCAGCATACTCTTTCAAAAGGCATTCTTTTGTGTCCCTGTAGTGTGCAAGTTGAAGCTCGGCCTTCTCCTTGAGCTCCATCAGATCAGTAGAACCCAATCCTTCTTCATCCTCATTGTTGCGTGTCCTGTCATTTAATAAGTTTGACACGTCGGCATTGGCACCATTCCATTCATCTGCTACAGAGGTTAGCTTCTCAGCTTGCGATGTTTTTGGTGCTGCAACATCCTCTTTTGACTGCAGGTCGGATTGTGACATCTTGGATAGCTGAATCGTTTTATCTGGGAATGTCATATTTAAGGTCACTGCACGACTTTCTATGTACTTGTTGTTTAAGTTCCTGTCGACCGCTTTTTCAGACGCTGCTTTCAAGGCGTTTATACATTGTGACGATATGTCCTTGCCAAAGTGCCTTGCAGCGTCACCAAGTAGGCTGTTGTCCAAGACTGCTTTTGCAACAGATGGGAGGTAGATGATAGTGTCCTTAGCAAAGTTGTCATATTGTTTCCGGTGCGCTAATTTTGTTGCGGCGAGTATTAATGCTGCCAGCATCTCCTCGCTGATTGTGTCCCCTAATATATTCTCTGCATCTGAAACAATAGAAAAAAGCTCTTCTTTGATTATATGCTGTCGCTTGGTCATATCCACTTGATCAAATGTACTGGAAGTACTGGTGTGCTCCACTTTATTCACATCTTCTTGCCAAAATGAGTTCGCAGGAGAGCTAAGGGAAGACAAAGATGAAGAAATGTCTTTGTCACCTACACTACGTCCTGTGATTGTTCTTGCTTCCCTGGACTCTCTACCACACAATACTGCGCCAACTTGGAGGTCGGCGTTTGTATTTTCAATATTTGCATTAATTCTCCTTGTTCTACAGCCAGGGTCATGATGTGCAGAAAGCTGCTTTCCTGCATTTTCCTCATTGCCATTGGATGAGAAACTGGCATTCTCCCACATCCTTCTCTGCTCTTCCACCATTGTCTCAACATTCACAACACTATTCCCAATTTTGCTGGAATCTGCATCTCCATCCAGCATCATGGTTGCCGCACGCTTGAGAGCACATGTGTAATCTGGAGGGAAGTCCACACCATCCCTAAACTGCTTCGAAGCACTTCTAATCAAACTCCCATCAATTATGCCCTTTGCAAGCGATGTTGAGAAAAGAAAGGGCCTGTAAAATTCCGCCTCTACTCTCTTTGAATTTTCAATTTGCAATGAAGCAATTTTCAGTGTTTCGATAGCTTCTGACTCGAAAGAGTCTTTCAAATCTTTCTCTTGATGATGGTTCAGGGGAGACCGAGTTTGCCCACTGCTATATTGAAACTGCTCCTGCTTTCCTGGAGTGAGCGGCTTTCCTGAATTATGAATTCCACCAGATGGCGCGCCGACTTCACTTTTGGCTCTCTTGCTGCCATGACGCCTTACTGAATCAGTGAAAATCATGCGCTTACTCCTTTGCAACCCTGTATTTCCAAATCTGGAGCGATCACTGTTCAGTTCTGTACTAGAATTCTCCAAACCTGAGCCTGTTTCAAGTGTTCCGTCGTTTCTATGCTTCAAGGGATGATCTGATAAAGTTGGACCATGTAAGAAAGGTTGCACATCAGCATGGCTACCCGTTGCGTCTGTTTTCCTCATTTCTCTCCCAACTTGATGCTGTTCGCCCAGTTTTGGCATCTTGTCTTCATTCACCTGATCCAAAATAGCGTGGGGTAAGGCCTTTTTCATTTGTATGTCACTCCTGCTATTTTCGTCAGGATGCACAGAACTAGGATCAACATGCATGGAAATTCCTTGATTCTGCGTATTCTGAGTTTCATGGTGCTCAGCATTGTCGGGTCTATATGAGCGGTCTTTTCGGTCATCGATTAAGGTTTGTGAATGGTGTGGAGGTGGCTCCAAAGATGACGATGCTTCAAAGGAGTCCACGTCATCAAAACCTACAATTTTGTCCTCAATCATGAGAGATGACAGCTGTTGCATGGGCTTTCCAGACGCAACTGGATCGTCAGCTTCGTGAATAAGTTCCGATGATTGGGGATGCCGGCCAACCTGTGGTTCAATCGCCATTTGAGTGGCGACAGCAAATGTCCCAGCAGGTGAGCTTGTCGCTGGTGATACCAAACTGCTCGGCTGATGTTGATACATCTCTCCAACGCCAGTTGATTCAATAAGGGAAATGCGATTTTTGACAGTGGCAATTAGTTTGTTCCTTTCAAGTAGCGCCGAGGATTCTCCTGATGTTGTTTTTGACATCTGTAAACCTTTTCTCATTTGGTTTTCGGAAAGTGTGCCCATATGCATTTGGTACCAATACTGTTGTTTCAAATATCGGTACAATTCCTTTGGTGAACTACGACTCATCGTGGTTTCTGCATCACATTCCTCGTCTTCACTGTATAGCAATGCAAGAAGTTTTCGACTGGCTTCTTCATAATCATTGGGTTCGCCCACATATCGATCCAGCCATTTTATTATTTCCACTTCCTCTTCGTCTTCCGTCTCTTCCGAATTGCTAGTCATATTCTTTTGCTTGTTTGTTCGGGCATCAGGTATTTCACCTAGAGTCGCAGCAGGAATCTTAGCCGTACCATCACCGCACTGTCCCACACTGTTTCGAAATTCCCTCATGATGTGAGCAGGTGGCTCCGGGTCCATTGCATTTACATCTTGACTCCTTTCTGCACTTTTGCTGATGGCCGAAATTTGATTATCAATGGCGATTCCTGGTATAGCCCCAGAATGGACAAGGTACCAATGCTGATGTTTCAGATGTCGGTACAAATCTTTTGGATCGCTTCGACGAAGCATTTTGTCGGGATCTCTTTCATCTTCATCCTTATAAACGAGGGGAATTAATTCACGGCAAGCCGCATCATAGTCATCTGGGTCATCAGCATTTCGCTCCAACCAAGGAATCAATGGAGCATCAGCAGATGACTCGCTTTGCGGCTCCACCATGACTTGATCTTGTGTTTCTTCGACAGCAGCAGAGCCTATGATTGGATCATCATTTTCACTAGGATTCTCAGTACTCAGTTCATCGTATTGTTTTGACTCCCATGGGTTTGCAAAATCTTCAATGTCGGGCCATTTCTGTTCATCATTTATGCCTTGTTTGTGTTGTATTTCACCTTCATTAGGAGGTTCACCAAACGATATGATAGCCTGATCTACAGCTTCAACGCTGAAAGCCCCATTTGAGTCATCAAAGGATTCCCACCTTTCCAGTTTTCCATCACATTCCGCCAAACTTTTCTTGGTGTGAATGAGAAGTTTGTGCTGTTGTTTCAAGTTTCTGTAAAGGTTTTTCAAGTCACATCGACGAATCATGTCATCCGCATCGTGGGATCCTCCTTGTGGATATACTAGCTTGATCAACTTCCGACAGGCTTCTTCATAATTGTCAGGTTCCCCTTCCCCAGATGACCACTCTCCATTGTAAGATCCAAGATCAAATTCAACAATCGTGGAACCGTCGAAAGAGAAGTCCGCACTACTTAATGAACGTTGAAGAGGATTTGTTGGTTTCACTTCACGCACCTCCACATCTTCTACCACGACTTCTTCATAGGCTGCGCCGCCAATGAAGTCCTCTTCTAGCCACTCTTCCTCGATAATGAACTGCTCTTCTGCAGCACTCATGAGGGAATTTTGCTGAGAGAAAGTGAGTTATTCGCCTTCTGATTGGGGATTCTTTCGGCGTCCAGGAATCAATTGCCAAGCTTTTGTTGCTGCATTCGTCAACCAGGGGATGGAGGTCAATGCGTATGATCACAATAACATGAAGCACAGCTCTCTACAGTAGTATTCTCCACTGTCACCGGCGCGATAATATGACTCTTTCTGCCGTTGAATCTGCAACAGAGGGAGGGTTCTGCTGGACCCCCCGACACTATGCGTCTGCTCATCATCCGTCACTCTGGGGGATATTTTACCTTTTTCGTTCCCCCATAATCTACTAGTGGTCCAGTTCAGGGGAACCCTGGTTTTACTTTGGGGTCGAATCGAAAATACAAAAGGAGTCGAAAGTAGGCAAAGTCAATCCGAAAGTAGGCAAGGAAATTTGAATCTATAAGGTCGATCTGAAAGTAGGCAAAATAATTATTGAAATTTGAAACTATACAAGGTCGATCTAAAAGTAGGCAAAATAAATATTGAAATTTGAAAGTATACAGTGTCGATCTGAAAGTAGGCAAAAATATAAGAGCAGTCACTACCGTGACCCATCCCAGATTGACTCATAACCTACATCTGGGACACAAATCTGTGACCTTAAATCTGGGAAAATGATGTTCAATACAGTGAGGAAATTCCCAGATTTCGAATGAGGACTCTTCATGTCGCACTAGCATAAGTAAATTATCAGCCAGATTGGTCGTGAAAATAAATATATGATGGATGAAACGTTTTCTGCACGACAAATATATTTTTGAAATACCAGGCAAAGCGCGCAGCTG